GGGAGACAGAGTGGGAGAAAGAGGGTTCCTGAGTCAGTTCCATCCACACAGGGTGAGGACACAGACAGCTCCATGTGCACAGGTTGAGGGGACAAGAGAAATCCATCCACACAGTTCTGGAAGACAGACAGTTCTAATAGACAGCTAGGCAAACTAGTGTCCTTTGAGTTCTGGTCCCCTCTTAAAAACTTAAGTCTGTTTGTTCAGATGATTATGATGTTGGCAAAATAGCAAATGCTATAGACCAGGACTTCACTAGGTGGTGAGAAGCTGGGGTGGAGGGTAGAGAGGAAAAGTCCTCTGAGGTGGCATAGGCCATTGTCCCTAGAGCCCACAGGAGGGTAGATGGAGCATGATCCAAACTTGAGTAAAAAAAGAAGACATCTTGGAGGTCCCAACATGATCAGATTAACAAATGGAAAGAATCAACGATCACTCTGCCTGCAAAGTCAAAAATGGATGATAGTGAGCTGGGGGTAGTGTGTGAAGGCAAGAGAAATTTTATCCCTAAAACGCAAGATTTTTGGAGCAATGATCATATATTTACTCTTTCAAAAATTGGGACACAGAGGGTCTAAAGTTACTATTCTCATTGTTGTAGCAAATCCCCATCCCCAAAACCTAAGAGAAGCAAGATTTACTTGGGCTCACAGTTTTAGAGGGTTCCATTCATAGTCCAATGATTCTGTCTCGGTCCATGGTAAGGAAGATCTTCATGGCTATGGGAGTACGTGGAAGAAGCTGTTCACCTTATGGAGGACAGGAAGCAGAGAAAGAAGCCTGTAAGAGAGTCAGAGCAGGAAATAGGCCCCAAAGACATGCCCCTGTTGGCCTTCTTCTAGTCAGTACCGGCTCTTAAAGCTTCCAGAATCTTCCAGAACCACAACAGAGGGTAACTGTTAGAAGCTGCTTATATAATTCTTTCTGGATAACTGAATTATCTCCCTCCTTAACATCCACTCTTTCCTGGATCCCACTTTAAAGGAAGATTCTCAGGATTCCATACAACCTGCACATTGCTGGGCTAGTTCAGAGACCTGAGCTCTTCCCAGGGCTTCTTTTCAACACAATTCCCTGGGTCTTCATTAACTTTCTTATAAAGCCCCTTTAAGGATTCAGTGAGGAAGTATAGGAAAAGGATTGATCAGACAAGGACTCAGAGAGCACTATTTCTTTCCTGAAGGGAAGTACAGTGTGTGTTATTTGATTGATGGGCAGCATGGGATTCGAAACTAGGTTTTAACCTACATTCAGGAATATGCACTAGTCTACTAGTCTTCTGTTGGTTTTGCCTGGAACTGCCAGCTGACTAACTCATCTCCCCACTCTGACATCTTCCTGCCCTTAGAATTAAACTTAAGACATCTTGGGTATTTCTCATCTTAGGAAATGCTTGTCCTTTTCTCTTGAGAAAGGTGGGTTTCCCCTAAATACATTTAGTTGTGTAGTCTTCTGCCTTGATTTGGGAGTTCAGAATTGTGTTCAGAACGTCTGCAGAGATGACAGGTTGAAGGAAGGTATCCTGTGAGCCCAGGGGCCTTGGGGGGGGGCATCCTCAATTCCTCCATTGCCTGTGTACATTCACTGCATTGGGCTTTTTTTTTTTTTTAAGTAACACTTTTGCACTTAGAAATTACAAGTGGGCAGAGAGCATCACTTACACAGGGTGACAGAGATTCTAGAAAACTCATTGTGTAGCTAGCCTATTCTCAGATGGCAAAAAAAATTGCTTTACTAACTTACTTTCCTAGCCAGCCGTATGTTAGTCAGTGTCTTCTTCTTTAAAGCAGGCAGCTTGGATACCACAGGCTGGAGAAGAAAAACTTGCTTAATTGTACTTAAAACACTCCTTGAGTTCTTTCTGGTCCTATCTCACCCTGCAGCATCAGCTTCAGCCTCTCCAAGTGATAATCAGGCATTAGAGGCTGGTTGTGTGATCTCAGCCAACAGCTTTTAAAGGATGTCAGGATTTAAAGAAAGGCCCTGGGTGGTGCTTTTGAAAGGGCACCAAGTCTAATGTTTGGGGTCTCTGTTATCTCATGAACCTGGGCTCTGCTAATGAAACGGGAGAAAGAGGGTCCCCTAGGGGGTTCTTAGACTCATTCATAAAAGAATTTTAGAATGGACCCAAACGGAAGATTTTACAGTTTTATTAGAATCATAAAGAAAAAATCCTCAGGGCAGGTGAGTGGGTAATCTTGGCAGCTGCCTTGAGGAAGTGAATAGTGGGAAGGAAAGAAGGCCATGGTGCCATGCAGGGTTAGAGCACTGTGTGAGAGGTCAGACACATGGCTGACATGCAGCCACATGGCTGGGAGATGGATGCTTTAGAGAAAAAGTAAAGCAATACAAGATGCTAGGGGCAGCTCAAAGCCTTAAAGAAAGCATGTTTAGTAATAAAGGCATGAAAAAAAAAGGAGAAAGTACGCTTTCTTGAAGAAGGAAAGCAGACAGACTTATGGAGACCTACATGACTGTGGCTGGTCCAGAAGGCCTGTGGGGATCTGAGCTAGTTCCAGGCAGGAAATATTTGCTACCTTATTAACAGACCAGGTATTCCACCCATCTAACTAGAATAACTTAAGGTGAACCTGGTGAACCTGCCTTCCTAGGAGTGGTTATGTCACCAGGTAATTGACCAGTGAGACTGGGAAAATAGGTCCTCCAACAGATAGACTACAGATTTTATAGTCTGGACCAGTTAAACTTACAGGTCTTATTGATACTCTAACATTAAGACCACCTGCTTCTTCAATGTTTACACTTTTAATTAGAGAGCCTTCTTTCTAAATAGTTTCTTGTAATGATTAGTTTCTTGTAATGATTCACTGTCTGACCAGCACAAGCCTTTGTTTGCAGGGAATATACACAGTGTATGGAGAACACTCATAAAGAGAATGCCAGTCTGGCCACTAAACGCCCACTTTACCTGGCAAAAGGCCACGTTGGAAAAGGGGTGTGGGAGAGTGATGGCTTCAACCCACATCACCTCAGTGGTATCCAGGTTTGGTGTCCCTTTGTCTAGCTTTGCTCCTCATCCTTCAGTCTGGGTCCCCATCACAAGGACCATCTTCCTAGGAAGAGGAGGATGACATTTCAGTGAAGGCTGCGTAGGCGACAGGGTCTCCCCACTTGAACTCTTTCAGGTGCGGAGTCAGTTCTGTGTGCCTGCTTGCTTGCCAACACCAAGGCAACAGGGGTTTATCAACAGAAAATACACAGCCCGTGCACTGAAAACATCCTCAAATCATCTCATCCCAGAGAGGCATTTTAGCTGAGAAGGCTCTTTGCCACACATGTTAATTCTCAGATAATAAAGGTGAAGTATGGACTACCATCCTTTTTTTCAGACTTAGAGCTCCAGGGGTTTGGTCAGTGTCACACTACTGGGGCTGGAATCCAAGGTCTTTCTGGAACAGCCCAGCCCAGCAAGTCAGAAATGACAGAGGCTTTTCTGAGGAACTAGGAGTTATGTACACCCTGCAGGCATGGCTGCAGGTGCACTCCACATGTATACAGAAGATCTGATCACAGGAGAGTGTACCTGTGCTTTCTGAACTGGAAACCCTTCACAAATGGATTGTTGGTGGTGATATAATACTATCCTTCCCATGCCTAGAATTGCTTTGGGCTTCCTAGAAATATATGGTGCCTTTTTCATAACTTATTCTTCAATCAGCAATCAGGGCACAGTCTTACATCCCTCCCCCCAAACTATGATTGGTGTTGTCAGAATGGGAGTAGAAAGCTTGAATCAAGAAGACAAGAAATCCCTGGGAATGGGTTGCACGCCTTTCTAACCTCAGAATTAAACACAAAGGATGGAGGGTTAAGTCAGTGGGTAGGGAGGTAGTGTGGGACAGATGGCCATCTGGGGAGAGTGCCTTCCTTCTAGAAGCATGTGCTGTGCCCAACAGCAGCTGGGGGTTGGCATGTTCTAGTTAGAGTCCAGATGGCCAATACTGCCAACTCTCAAGAGAATTTGGAAATTTAGAATTTCATATATATTTTCCTGATTGGATTCTTGAATATTAACGCTAATTTAAGCATTTTTTAAAAAGATTACAGGCCAAAAAACCCACATGCAGACTCAAATCAAAGTTTGTTCTTTGTACTTCTAAGCAAATGGTATGTTTAGGAGACTCACACTGAAACACAGAGATCTGTCTAGAAGGATCTTTATTTCCAGCAAAGTCTTGCATCTTTCATATCTTTGTGAGAGAAACAGAAGGGACAAATGGCTCCTGGAACCTGGGTATATAAAGAGCTTCATGGTATTCCCCTTAGGTCTAATCATTGGACTTTTCTTCCTATTGCCTGATGGACAAAGTCCACATGCAAAGCCCCCCACAGGCACCCAGAGATTGTAGAATGGGCAGAAGCTACATACAGATCCCGGCTTACTAGATAATGCCATGTTTCCCCTCCTTACAGGAAAGTGTATTGTAGTCTAAATAAGTAAGATGAAAAAAATACCAGAATAACCTTGAATTGGCCTTAAATTTTTAAAAGTAAGTTCATTGTAGTAACTGGTATTTTTCTACCATTACTCATCACAAAATTCACAAATGTCAAGATGACATAGTTAAGAACAATTATTTTTAACAACAAAAATATGAGGATATATTATTAAGTCTTCCACATAGACAGCACTTTCTGCGTTGGGTGCCTTCAGATGTGGTATGGTGGGCTGGCCACCTTCCCGAGATCACAAATTCACCTTTACAACATCTGCTCCAAGGATCCTCAGAATGTCACCACAGTTGAACTCTCAAGATAGGATGAGTCCAAGATCCATGTTCTCACCTGTTGGACCCTTTGAGACTGGAGCCTGGCTGATGCTGAGTCAGATTCTGCCCAGCAAAAGCCAGGAAGGAAGGGTTGCCTTGTTATCTAGGTTCTTTGCTTTGTAAATCAATCCAGAAGCAGACTCTGAACATCAGCACTCTCTAAGAACGTAGTTTTTGGTTTTGTTTTTTCTTTTTTTTTCCTTTTTTTTTTTTTTTTTTTTTTTTTTTTTTAAAAAAGCCATTTCCTTCTCACTGCACTGGAAAACAAACATTCAAGAAATAGGACTAGAAAACAGACTCAAGAAGAAAGACAAGAAAGTGACTGGGAATCTGAGCATCATGTCTCCTGGGGAGGAGCATCGCGATCTTAAAGTCAGACTGGGATGAAATGAGGGCAGAGATGGCTATTTTTTCTCTAGGTCACCATAGGGAACCGATCTAACCTATTTACACACAATCTCAGGGGAGATGCCTTTAAATAGCTATCTTGTCACTGTCCTTTTCGTCATCTTCCATAATCACTCTGGGTCTCTCGTCTCTGAGCAGAGTCACACCTGTAAGACAAAGTGCAGACCTGCAATTAAGAACCGCTAATTAAAATATTAGACAGCTTGGCAGTGTCAACTCAGTGCCCAGGAGCACAGCAACCCAGAGATGTTCAGTGTGTGTGTGTGTGTGTGTGTGTGTGTGTGCCTGTGTCTGTGTCTGTGTGTGTGTGTGTGTAAGGAGAAAACCTTCTCAGAGGCACTCAATGAGGTCATCAGTCTGGGTGCAAGGGGAGACACAGGTCTGAGAACACATAGGCCCCCTTTACCCCATCTCTGAGTGCAATATAGTAAACTCGAAAGCACACAGATTTAGGAGGACCCCTCTGGGCTTCTGGTGGAGCCACTCTTCACATGAGGTGGGCCAGATAATGCTCACAAACCTAAAAGTTCTCATATGTAAAATGAGGACACTAATTCTTATTATAGATGATTATCACATCCACTAAGTAAGTTGTCTGAAACACACTTTTATCAAAATGTCCCACCTGTGGGCCCTCGAGATGGCTCAGTCTTGCTGCCAAGCCTGAGGACCTGAGTTCAATCCTCGGGACCCACATGGTAGAAGGAGAGAATAAACTCCTGTAAGTTGTCCTTTGATAGCCCCAGGTACATTATGACAATAAATAATTAAAAAATTAATGCATTATGGCACATGCCCCACAATAAATAATTCAATCAATCAATCAATAAAATAAAAGTATTTTTAAAGCCATACCTGTGAACAACTAAATACAGGTTTTCCATTATGTTTTTCCACAATTTAATAGTTTCTTCTCTTTTTGAAAGAAATCATCAAGTCAAACTTAAAACCACTGGGGGGAATGCTGAGCCGAGGCTCTGAACGTGATTGAAGTCAGCCCCAATACACTACAAAGTTTACACACTTCAGAGCAAAAAGAAGACAAAAACTGCAGTGTGTTTGCACACTCAATGCTGCTGCACTTCAGAGACAGTCTTTAGAGATCACACATTCTCTTCATTTAAGGATTAAAATTTTAAAATACTTGTACAAGCTGTAGAGCTGTTAGATAAATCTTTACTTAGGCAAAATAAAAAGCTGTTCTTCCTATGCTAAACTCCACAATATTTTGCTTTTACAAGCTTGCTTGTCTCTGAAACTCAAGACTTCTGAATTTGCAGTTTGATTTGTCTAGACTGACCAGGTCAGAAAAGGCCCAGTCTTGGAGTCCTGGGGGGGTCCTGCCCATCCTATGAAGGAAAAGCTAGGCCATTCTTATAAAAGGACAAATGAACCTGGGTCACAATCAGTCCTTTGTAATTTCTGTGCCCTCCTTCTACCCACCCCCCACCTTCTTTCCCCACCACAGCTTCCTACTGCTGACCTCCCCTCCAGTCATAATTAGAAACCTTCCAGCAATTCCCAAAGATTTGACAGACAAAGAGGCTGTGCAGTCCTTGGGTCTTTCTAAAGCACTGGCTTCCATTCGACCTCAGTAAATTAATGAAATCTATGTGTGGGTCTTAATGACTATTCATTTGATTCCTTTCCCAGTTTATTTAGATGGGCTCCTTACCAATTAGCTAGTATTTATTGGAAGAGAAAAACAATTTCTAGAGTCTGGATACTAAAGCTTTTACATAAATCACTTATGAATACAATGAGAGTCCCCCCCCCCCTTATAATAGGTGCATGGAGGTTTAGAATTTTATTTGAAATTGAATCTGGAATGCCAGTAGCACATAGAACTGTCAAATTTTCCATCCTTCCTTGCTGGATAGCTCTATACATTAAATCAAATTTTGGTTAATGTAAAACTAGCCCCCCAAAATTTTTAATTTCTAAGTTCAGTAAATTTTCTAGTTTCTTAGAAATTTAGTCATTAGAGAATCTAAGTCAGAGGATAGGAAGGAAGTCCTGGGACTTCAAGGCAAGAAAAGCATCCTAAATGATAAAGACTGGCCCGCCTCAAAGTGGGATAGCATACCCAAAGGAGCACAGGGCACAGTATCAAGTGTGGGCTAGCATTTTCTCTGTCAGCAGAGTGAAACATATTGCAGTATTTTTATGAAGAAAATGTACGGCATACGGTATATTTTGAATTTTAACAGGGCTCCTGGGTGCTGTCAATTTCCATATTTTATGATGACAATGTATGGGGTGCGTTGTGTTTTGGACCTTAATAGGGTTCTCAGATGATAATGCTGTCAGGAGGTGGTGGGACCTTTAGGCAATAGGGTCTGACAGAAGAAAGTTAGGTCACTGGGAGCACCCCTGGGGGTCACTGGAACCCCAGATCTTTCCTGCCTGTTTTCCTGCCACCACAAATGAGGTTCTGCTCCAGAGCAGCCCCCTCCATGATGTTCTGCCTTACCAAAAGGAACAGGGCCAAGCACTGACTGTGCCCCCAAAACTATTAGTCAAAACAAAACTTTCTTCCTTTTAAGCTGATTTTTGCAGGTATTTCATCACAGCGTCAAAACGTGAGCAGCCCAGGAGCTCATACCAACCGAGATTTCATGGATGTCACTATTCAGAGTGTGAACGTGATGTCACTACTTTTCTGTTTTAGTTGCTTGGAGGATTTGAGGAGCACCTAGGTGTGAGGAGCACTGATCTGGCGTGTCTTCCTCCTGGTGCTCTCCTGAGGAGGCATAGCTGTGTTACTGAAAGGAGGTAGCCTTTAGCTAGAGCTGGAAAGGGTTCCCTTGCTGATCCTTCAACAGTGAACAGCTCACTTAACCACCTAAGTCTCACTATATCCAACTGGGAAAAATAATTTGCATTCCTATGGGGTATGATATGCTAGGAAAGACAGGCCCACAGTCTTTTTCTTTAAAAAAAAAACTCTTTTATGTGTGTGTGTGTGTGTGTGTGTGTGCATGTTTGCATGTGTATGGGAACATGTATGTGCACATGTATGTGTGAAGGCCAGAAGTTGACATCAAGTGTCTCCCTAGAGCACTGTTTACTGAGGCCGGGTCTGTCATTGAATCTACTACTTGCCCATTTGGCTAGCCTAGATACCAGCTTGCTCTTGACATCCCCCATCTCCACTTCCTGAGCCCTGGGTTTATAGGCACACTGCCATGGTCACCCAGCTTTTACTTGGGTTCTGAGAATCTGGACTTATGTCCTCATTTCTTTGTGGCAACCACTTTATCCATTGAGTCATTTTCCAAGCCTAGGATCACATTTTTTTAATGCCCCAAGAATACCTTATAGAAACCTTTGCTAAAATAAGTTTGACATTGTGGGACTCATTGGACAACATCTGACTTCTCTTGTAGTCCTTTAAGTCTACTGTCTGGCATGAGACTTGGAATAGAGTAGTATTTAGCAAATGTCCCTTCTTTTCTTTCCATGTAGAAGAGAATTCAGAGTTTAGGGAACTTGGCTACTTGGAAGATATGGTGTGTTTAAGTCCAAGGTTGCTAGTTTTGGGTCTCTGAGGGGTACTCAGCCTGCGCTGTGCTGTTTCTGAGCAGGATCCCACCTAAACACCATCTAAACTTGATTCTCCATATTATGTGTATGTGCATTACATCTGGAAAAACCAGGACCAAGGAAGGCATCCCATGTCTGCATCGATCACATAGCAGGTGTGCTCTATTCCTAGCAGGATAGACATGCGCCGTTTTCAAAGGCCAGCCTACTCTCATTCCTTGGCACAGCTTGGCCATGTTGATTTCTGAGCCCCCAAACTGCCCCATTCGCAGTTCACAGCTCAGTTTTCTGGTAAGCTTCTCCTCCACACCCCCAGATGTATTCTTCTTTATTTTGGTTGGATTTTCCTGTCACCTATTTGACTAAAGACTTCTTTGTGTCTTAAGCAGGTTTTGGTGCCTGTAGCTGACCAATCACAACCCATACCCGCTGCCACACAGTCTTCAAGATGGAGCCCTGGCAACTATGGGCCAAGTTGGAACAAGCTGGATTCCTGAGATGACTCCCATGAAAGCTCCGTTCTGGCAATCGGACCTGACAAATTAGCTCATTAACCTCAGGGAATGAGGTGGTTATCCAGAGATTTAGAAGAGAGAATGAATTCTTTTCCAGTGTCCACTTGCCAAGGGCTAATGAGAGACATCTCTATGGGGCATTTGTCCATGGGTTCCTCTCAACTCCCCTTTTCAAATCAATGTGTCTTTCTGAACATCTGCCAAAGGCTCTTTCCTTATCAGCTAAACTAGTATTTTGATTACTGCCAAATATTTATGTACTAAAAGACTTCAAATATAAAACACTTGAGTTAATATGGCAATAAAGGCTAGAATCACGGAACAATATTTGTTGTTGTATGTATTTATAACACTGAGGATTTGCTGACCACCCCCAGCCCCAGTTCTTGAAGACTCTACGGAGTTTGACCAATACTTTTGATTCAATAGGGAAGCTGATCTTTAGGATTCAGGTAGTGAAATGAGGCCAGCATTTATTAAATAATCAGAATTCAATATCTAAGAAATTCTTTGAACCAAGCTTATATGAAGATGTGAAATTTTATAGCTGAGAGACTTTTCATCCCCCTCTCTCTCCCTCATTCCATACCTAGCTGTACTTCTCAGTTCATTCACCCTGGCAGATATTTATCTGTTTATTTGTATGATTATTGACCACCTTTTATTACCAATCTCTAGAATGCAAGAGAGCATAATAAATAAATAAATAAATAAATATGTGTTAAAAGAATGAAGATGGCTTGAGGATAGGTTGCTGCATAGACTAAATTTCCCTTTTTATCATTATATTTGTATTATCTCAGAGACTGCATCTAGTCAGAGCTCAGAAAAGCTAGTTTGTAAAAACTGATGTGTTTGCACTTGTGTGTGGCGTGTATGAAGAGAGGGGAGAGAGAGAGAGAGAGAGAGAAACAGAGAAGAGAGACAGAGAAGAGAGATGGGAAAAAGAATGAAGGGGCGGGCACGTGCCCATTCATCTTGGTGTTCAGGTAAGCGACGAAGACAGAGAAATGGATGTAGAAAAGGGGGTAGAAAGAGAGGAAGTAGGAAAGGAAAGGGAGGAAGGGAGGAGAGCAGAGATGCCATGCAACCTTGGATAGACCATTTGGCATGGTTGTGGATGCCAAGAACCTGGCTATTGTTATAGTGATGTCTTTTTCTGAGCAGCTTTAAAATATTAAATGAAATAACAGTAAAGGTAGTTTTATAATAACAATCAGATCTCATTTCCTCCCTAAAGTGTGATTTATGGATGCCCATAGTCCTAAGTCACATCAAAGTAAAAGAAAAGTAGTGAGGGGAAGGTAGGGTTCTAAGGAACTGAGTCCAGCTCTACTGGATAATAGTGTTTGATTTCATATGTTCAGGTTTGCATCTGCTCTTCTCATAACTAGTCCAACCAATCAGCTGACCAACCGCCCACTCCATCCATCAATTCCCCTATATAAGATACAGAGTCTCAGTAAGTGAATTACATTCTCAGCTTCTTTAACTGTGAAGGAAGATAATTTGTTAGTCATAGATTTTATTTTATTATTTATTATTTTTATATGTATGAGTATATTGTCTGCATGTGTGGTAACTCCACCCATGTCATACAGTGCCTGCAGAAGAGGGCGTCAGATCCCCTGGAACTGGAGTTATGGACAGCTGTTAACTGCCATGTGATGCTTGGAATTGAACCTGGGTCCTCTGTAAGAGCAGCCAGTGTTCTTAACCACCTCTCTAGCTCTCTCATATATTTTAAATTAATAACATGTTATGCTAATCATTACTAGGGTGTCAATAAATATTAGTACATTTTTCCCCTTGCTACACACACACACACACACACACACATGCACACACACGCACAAGCACACATACAGAAAGAGAGAGAAAGAGTCATAGTCCAATCATAAAAAACATTTGTCTCATTCTCCAAATTGTTCAGAAAGTCCCCAGGGGCAAGGACAACACCCCAAGGCATTTTCTGTTTTATCAAACATGTATTATGGTAGCTTTCAATATTTTGGCGTTTTCGCCCTTCTCCTCTCCCTCTCTATCTCTTGTTTTGAGAATTAACCCATACACCTCCGGAAATCAGTCATAAGATGTATATTCCATGTGAGGTAGAAAGTGGCTGTCTCACCTTTACTCAAGACTCACTGACGCTGTTTCACTGGGTCAGTGAATTTGACCAGGTCTGCTGGAGTAGGAGTAATCTCTGAGCCTCCCCCATTTCCAGGTCAGCCCCAGTGGAGCTGCCAAGGGGGATAAACCTGAAAGGCAGACATTAGCACACTCCCTCCCAGTGCACCTGAGTGCCACACAGCTTGCTGGGCTAGGACAAAGGCCGTGCCCTTGGCACCTCCAGATGGTAAGGCTCCAGCCTGCCACCACTTCTGTGAGTTTCCTGTACCCACTCTTTTACCTGCTACAAAAGGAGGCATGTGCAGGGCAGGCGTGTCTTTTCTCCTTGGCTTTTTCTGTTCCACGTCAGTGTTATGAAGAACTGGGCTCATTTTGCCTTTTGGATGTCTCTCTTGAACATCATATCTTTGAACTAAATGTTCTGAAATCACATCTGTATAGTTAACGGCACAGAAAAAAGAACAAGGTCAAGTGCATAGATCCTGAAGGGCTGTGCTGATGTTACCTGGTGGCCACGTGCCTGGGAAAGGCAGTCACTGTAGCCTTTCAAATGTGATTAAATACAAGAAGTTTCCTGGTAGTAAGTTTAGTTTTCAATGAGGCTGTAGCCTATGTTCAAAGTGGATTTACTGCCTGACTTCATTTAGCCTGAGGAAGGTAATGTTATTACCACACTGAGCTTGGGACAGTGAAGCAAAGAAAGGAATCTGACTGATTATAGCTAATACGGAGATGGAAAGTGGATATGTCTGTCTCCTAAGACCATCCTCCTTAGCTAGAGGGGAGCATCCGTTGTCCTGCAAGCCACACACTTCCACCCTGATAATGACTGTACCATTCCACTTCAGCTTCTCGTATCTGCCTTCTCTTCTCTATTCTATGGGAAAGGGGTTGACGAGGAATCTCACATCATCTAAAATCTCTTTAAAAATTGCCCCTCTTATAGCCATTTCCGAGATTCGCTGCTCAGACTCTGCCCCCATGGTTGTGACCTAAGAACTTTGCATTGTAACCCTGCTTCTTGCTCAGTATTTCACTTACTCTGCTTGTTACTAGCTCTCAAGGTATGTTGTGCATAGAAAGAACGTGGAATAAATTGCTAAATGTAGAGGAGAAGGGACAAAAAAGCAAAACAAAACTGCTTGATAAGAGAGTATCACGTCACAGTCAAAGGTGTGGACACAGACATATTAGCTGTTCATCTGACTGCTACGATTTTCTCCTAGGTGTGGAACTCAGTTGCATTTCCAGCCTCCCCTGTGGTCAGGTTGTTCCTGTGACTGATGGAAGCTGATTCCACCTGGACCTCCCCATCAATCCTGCATCCTGTGCCCACCCCCATGCCTGCTGGATGCTGATGCTCATGGCAACTCCGCAAGATTGTGGTGAGTTTCTTCATTGTGTGTTGATGATGTCAGATCTCACGAGCCTGTGTCCATGAATGTCTGGAGCACAGGATGCCTCCCCATCCCCAATCTTCACTACTAGTGAGTAAAAAACTCTATATTGCATTCTGTATGTGTTATTGCATTAAGCCACTGGTGTTTTCAAATCTAGCCCAAATATTTAAGGAGAAACATGTGGAGATCAATTCAGCCTGGCAGCAGGTCCTTGTAGCTGTGCAGACTGACCTCCTGTGGGCCTTACCTGGTATGAAAGGGGGGATGTGCAATGCAGGTGTATCTTTCCTCCTGGGTTTCTTTTGGTCAGATTCAACATTCAGGGTGGTCTGCACATTCTTCCCCTTTCTTGGTTTCTTTTTGAGGTCACAGTCCTTAATAAACTGATCTGAAAGATCATCTGGTATTGAAGAGAAAAGGGAGGAAAGGTGAGTAAGTGTTGAGCCAGAAATTGGTTAGTTTCTCATTGTAAGTGATGCTTGTGACAGGTCAATTGGTCTGAAACAGAATTGCTTATGTTTAGCTTTTTAATTGAATAGACTTGCATGTGTTTGTATAGTAGAAAGGAAAATTAAAATTTTGTAAAACTTAAGAGAGGAGGTTGGAGAAGTGGCTCAGTGATTAAGATCACTGGCTGCTGTTACAGAGGATTTGTGTTCTATTCCCAGCACCCACATGGAGGCTAATAACCATTCATAATTCCGGTTCCAGGGGATCTGATACCCTCTTCTGACTTCTGTGGGCATTGCATGACATGGGTGGGTATACTTACATACATGCAGGTAATATATTCTTACACATAAAAAAGAAAAATAATAGTTAAAAAACAAACAACAACAAAAAACAAAAGAGAAATCAGATGGATTACCAAGGAGGCAGGGACAGAGAGAAGAATATGACCTGGCAAACAGGATGAATTAGAACTGAGATTCTGAAAGGAAAGTAGGTCCAAATGTTGTCTTGTTTGTTCTCCTGACAGATCCAGTGGCTAGAGGGACTTCCCCCTGGTCCTGGAATGTCTTACTAGAGTGCTCAGTGAATCCCTCACTAGCCTTAACTCTGTGGCCAGCTCATCATCCTGGAAAAGCCACAGGTAGGTTTTACCATTCACCTTTTGTCTGCCCTCTGATTTGCAACTCTGCTCTTCACCCATCCTTACTCTAGTCTTATTTCTGATTTCTTCAATTTTCGTAGCCCCTTACTGATTTCATGAGACCCTTTAAAGCCCATCTTCTACCTCACATCATCAGAGGGTCTCATGGAAATGACTCTGATCCAATCACTTGGCCCCAGAAAAGCTTTGTCTAGGCATACCTTATACCCTGGCAGCTTTATCTGCTCTGCTGTCCTTTGCATTTCCCTGGCACTGTTCAAAGCCTAGTTCAGTGCCCTGAGATGGCAGAACAGTTATCATGGAGCTAAAGATCATGCACTTCAGGAATTTCATTCTTAATTGCCTCTTTCTCCAATAGATGCATGTTGAATGGGAGTTTAGATCTTGATTTGTTGATTTTAAGACGTAAAGATTTAACTTCTATAAACTTTAAAATATTTTGTTTATTTTTATTTTATGTGTATGAGTATATTGCCTGAATGTATGTAAGTATACCCTGGAACTGGAGTTACAGATGCTTATTAGCCACCTTGTGGGTGCAAGAATTGAACCTGGGTCCTCTGTAAGAATAGTCAGTGCTCTTAGCCACTGAGCCATCTCTCCAGTCACAGAAATGTTAGTATTATCTCAATCTTTTAGTGCGGATGATATTAGATCATTGTGTGCATGTGTGCGGTACATTTGATATGTTTCATGTGCTCAGTAAATGGTCTGCTGTGCCACTGCTCAGCTCCTGAGCAGAAAGCTCCATCTTTGTCAGTCTTTCTCTGCTAACTCCAGCTTGGTTTGCCCTTTCTCATTTTCTGGATATTAACAGCACTGTTGTTCAGGTGACACTTTAAAGGATGATGTAGCCATTTTTTTTGGCATATGCCTTCTCTACCCTCTTTAATGACATTATCTTGCCATTCTGCTCTTAACAACCATGAATAAATTGTTCTGAATATGTGCTTGAAATGAATGGATTCTGACATACTTAAAGAGCTGTTCTGTTAGGATTCATTGAAGCCACAAAACAATGAAACTGTATGTATTCTCAACTGCAGACCTAGACAGTCTGGGACCATCTAGAAATATGACTGAATATGGGGAATTCAGAGGTTAACTTAATCTTTCAGTACCTCTGTCCCCCCCCCTTCTTCTTTTTGTCTTTTTATAAAATCACATTTTATTAATTCTTTGAGAATTTCATATAATGTATTTTGATCATATTGACTTTCCCTCCTCCATCTCTCCTCAGATTCACTCCTACACAACTATTGCCACCCAACTTCATGTCTTCTTTTGCCTAGAAGATTTTGATATCATCCAATCATCTCAGCATAATCAACACAGGCCAAGAACCTGTAGCTAGATAGGTTACAGGCCCTAGGGGAGATCGAGTACTATTATTCTGCTGAAAAGACACAGTATTAAACAGACTCCTAATGACTGATGGTTAAACCCATAGATTGGTGAATTTCTCAAAGCTCATTAGAGAAACTTCACACTGAACTATGTGAAGTTTATATACACAGGAAAAGGAGGTGAGGCATTACTAGTTTTGCTCCGGCATTTGGACTATCCCAACAAATGTGCTTTGCCAGTTGTTCAATATGAGTTCCATTCCGAACAAATTATTTCATTTAGTCCACACACGAAGCCTGCAGATAGCCTGCAATCACCCCTCTTTGCAGATGTGGCCAGGTAAAAGGGTGAGAGGTTCACTGCTGACAGGACAAGCTTGGGGTGGGGGGTCTTGGAGCTTCATCTCATAAAACTCAGCTGAAAATGTAAGTCTTAAAATGTGTTACCACATAGTGGTTAGCAGACCTCCCTACCCCATAATATACACACAATAGGTATTGGTTGAATGATGTTCTTAGCATGAGCGCTGCCCAGCTGTGGGTTTCCTGGAGGCACAGCCTGAATCTGGGCCTGCCAAACACAAGGTGCCTGTCACCTCACAGTACAGAGAGCAAGACATGTGTCTCAATTTTGACTTTCACTTCAATTGTACTTTTCCCTATTTTTTGCAGAAATCCTGAACATAAAATATCTTGAAGGCAATAGAGGAGAGAGGAGAGTACTGGAGTCATAACCACGCGGGTCATTAACAAAGGCTATGAATATGCAAAACGCCCATCAATCAAAAGTCTGAGTGTCTCATTTTTAGAAATGGGTAGAGGCAGAAATGTTTCTGGTATTTTCATTACAAAGGTTATGCAAAAAGTCAGTTCTGGAAAGGAAACAGATTGACAATAAAGAGAAAAAGCCTATTTAAAATTCCATCTTGATAGGCAAAGAGAGATATTTGACATATTTTATTGGCTCTGCACATGGGGTTTAAGTGTGCTGGAAAATACTGGAAACAAGCTATATTGCCACATGCCATTTATTGCCTCAAAAATGCTCTGCCTGGGACTCTGTCGGATCCAAAAAAAGAGGACAATGCCTCTCTGTGTTTCTCTCTGTCTCTCTCACTCTAATGAACTTCTCTCTAGTGCTTCAGCTAATATTTACATGGCAGACCCCAAGACCCCATGGCTATTTGCCTGTCCATCTGGTACTGGCTGTCACCAGAAGGCACAGGCTATAGGGTTTCAGGGGGCCTCTCTCTGACTTTCCTGAGAACAGTAGAGCTGAGAGCCCTCCTGTGACAGACATGATAGATATGCTCAAGGAGGCATTTACCCAAGTGGCTGCAGCGAGGATCAAGCTTGTCCAATCTGTCTTCTGAAAGGTCCAGGGGCTGCACTGGCTCGGTAGTCACCATCTCAGTGGACATCCTCAATGGATAATGGTTGTGTGTGTTTCTTTTCCAGCCCTGAAGAAGTTTAAGAAACAATATACAGGTATGCCTGCATTCACGTGTTTATTCAATGAATGGATTTAGAGAGTACTTTTTATGCTCCCAGCTCAATCTTGTTTCTCAAGTCTGTTTTTTATACTTAGCTGCTAAATCTGAAATGTAAGCCAAAATCAAATATCACACACACACACACACACACACACACACACACACACACACACACACACACGCACGCACACACGCACACACGCATATGCGCATGCACACACACACGCACACAGGCAATGCTATATATCAAATGATCATTATTTGCCTACTTAGGAGTTCAAAATTAGATACTTATTAAGTCTGAACTAGAAATGAGTTGGCTAAGAGTTAACGGAGTATCTCGAGCAAACATAATGTGTATTTCCTCTGTTGAGTTCTGGAAGGTATGTCTACATCACAGAGGAGGAAACAGAAGCTCTCCAAGTCCACTTAATTTGTGTAGTCATACATCTCTTCATCAAGCTTAGATCAAAATCCAGTCCCACAGAGTTCTAGGCACTTGAGTCCTTTAAAAATAAAATGAATCCTCTGAACCCAAAGTTAACCTGACTCCTAGTTTTCCATCATTATACCTTATGATTATAAAATAATCCAACTGCCTCCTTATGCAATGCGGGTAGCAGGTACATGGAGCAGGAAAACTGGGTCTCAGTGAATCATTCTTATTTTCCCCCTAAGGATTCCTGACAAGAGATCAAATCTCTTTCTATCCTCATGTCCTATCTTTTCTGGAACACAAACCCACTGAGGTTTCATGGGTATTGGTTACAGCCCCTTCCCGGAGGAGTGGAAATCTAGCAAGGACAGATAAGAAATACATTCCTGAGATTCCTAGGAACAGATCCTGCATTGGAGGAATTAGTCTGTTTTTTTGAGTTCCTTTCTGATAGTTTACCGCTGGTGTCCTACAGTAGTAAGGGTGAGGTCTAGGGGAGACATGAGGAGGGTTAAAATGACCAGGTCCCTCCTCCCGTCATGCAAGTCCTGGGCTGCAACATGCAGAGGAAATGCAGACCAGCCACAAGGCCCTTCTAACCTCTCAGAATGGCTTAACTCTGTCACCTTTGAAGTCTTTGAAGACTTAAGTTGCTGTTGTCTAGAAAGGCTAAGGGAGGGATTCTCTCCCATGAACTGAGATCATTGCAGAGCAGATGGGCCATTAGCTGATCGCCTGAGCCTGGCTTTTAGTGTCATCCCTAGTAGACTGATTGTATAAGTGGCTTCAGCAGAAATCAATTCAGACCATTGTCTTTAGTGTATATGAAGATAGTGCCAACTCCCCTGAACCATAAGTATGCTATAACGTCCAGCAGACTAGCTCCCTGCCCCAGCATTTGTAAAAAGGATAAGATCCCCTGGGAGTGGGCTTCATGCTGAGGTCTCCAGGAAAAGTGGCAGCTTCAAACATGGTCCTATTTAACTGATCTTCCTCTTCTCTAAGGAATCTTGAACCCAGTCACAGATGTGCTGAAAACCACATGGGGAATCTGCTCAAAATATCCATCCTCTAAAAGAAGAAACCAAAGTTCAGAGCATTTACACTGACATCCGTTAGTCATACGCTCACCATCAGAGTTATTATAGAGACTCAGGCCCCTACCGTGCACTCGTGGTCCTAATCTGAATATCCTCCTTGTCAATCTAAAGCAAGCTGCTCCTTCCTTGTGCTGGAATCACATGTTCTATGTGTCTAGTAGCTAGTTATTTAATTGAACATATGTTTTCCAGTCAAAAAGACTTAGTTTGAATCTTGAAACTTTATCTAAAAATCCACATGACACTGATGAAAGTACTACAAAATACTGATGTAGTGAGGATAAATTGAGGTCAAATGCAAAATAATAATATTGGATCACCACCTAGAAACTATTATTGCTATAGTAAAATTTACGAAGACTAGTTTCTTAGAGCTGACCCCATCAACTGACGTCCAGAAACACAGGCCCTTTCTGCACCCACCTGCTTACATTAAATTTTCTTATCTATAAGTTAGAAGTAATAACACCTCACCCATAGAGTTCCTGTGAAGATGAAGTTGGATTGCCTGATGTTTAACACACTGGCACTTCACAACGGCACCACTGTCCATCCCATGCTACACAATTTGCTGATGAGGACCAGCTGTGTAACTGGGTAATCCTAAGAAACAATTGAAACTCATTTTCATCCAGATGCTGAGCCCGGGGAAGACCAGCCTTCATCTGAGATAAGCAGTTTCCTCAGTATTAGACCACAGAAAGAGTAATCTCCCATGGCTGGTGAATTTCACAGAATCAGCTCAAGATGTTAGAAGCTCCTGGACAGGCTGGGGCAATTAACATTCATTATAAATCTGACAAGCACTCCTCCCGAAGATGAGTCACACTGCTTTGTCTTTAGAAAAAGCAACACTCTTGAACCAGTGTGATCAAAAGCACAGCTGTGGTGGACTAGGAGACTGTGAGGTGGGAGGGGCTGTGAAGCAGTTTTCAGATCTGGGAATTTACAGTACAATAATATCAACAATGTTCGTCAGGCATGTGTTTTGCCCAGGGGATTACAAGATCCTTTAATCTTGGATGACATCATCATGACTTTCCTGCCAGAAAATCTTCAAACAAAAGAATGAACAAGTGTGTGGCAGGAGAGCTGTTTGGAGCTTAGTGCTGTCTTACTGATCTGTGTCACTATACTCACTGCCTGTTGAGTTGTCCAGATGGGATGACCTGTCTCCACCACCTTCTCCATTTCCATCCTCAGAGGAAAGGGAGCTTTTTATGAGACCACCATGGTAAGAGTGTGTCTAATTCCTGTTCCCCACTCTACCCATGCATTCCCTCTTTAATTCAATCTGTGCCCCAGGCAGGCTTCATAAGGACACTGTGCTTGTCATGATGCCTGGGGAAGCTTTTATCACCTTCCTCATCTGCTCCCTGTAATCTGGGAAATTTCTGAGGCTCCACTTCTTTTCTTCAAACCTAAATATTTGGTCCTCTGAGTGCTGAGATTCCAACTCTAAAGCTAAGGCTTTCAGATGAGCTTGTTAATAGAGACCTCACTTGGGATGTTTCATAGACTGTGTCTAGTCAAATACTTTGTGACTCCTCTGTCAGTTCTTTGCCTTGTGCTGGCTTAGCATGGTCTTTAAATCTAACACTCACTCAGTAATGACCTGTACTCTTCTGTGAGTCTCAATATTGGCCCACCCACCCTCACTGAAGCCCAATGTGTTATAGAAATCAGGACATTTTCACCATGGAAGATGCCCAGAAGGACATCGGGGAGCCCCAGCAGGCTTGCACATTATTTCTATATCCAGATGTGAATATTCACAATCAAAGATGCAACGCCAGACTGCATGAAGAGTTGAATCTTTTCAGGTCAGGTTTTATACTGAGTTTATACAGAGCTTCCTAACAATAGGAACAACCCCTTCACTCCTTCACTTTTCACACTTCTCAACTAGAGAATAAGAGACTGTGGATCTGAACTGTTTTGTTGTTGGTTGTTTATGAGAATGTGGGTGGTCTGAGGAGCATTGTGCTTTAGGCCACGGGATGTAATTTCAGGGTTTGAGGGAGATTTTCAAGACTCCAGATGCCAAAACCTTGCAACTTTTTTCCCAACCCTTTTTACATGGTATACACACCTTTCTCTTCACAAAAATACTTATAAATCCAAATACTACTGACAGAGATCTATAACTGATGCCATAGAGTACAGCCAGGGCTGACAACAACTGTCAGTTAATGTCTGAGAACAAAACCAGAGGACTGAGGGGCTACACGCCTGGGAAGGAATCCCATTGAGCTGCAGAAGGGCCAGTGGGCAGTGCATCAGCGCAGCATAAGGAAACCTGAGCCCACAGCTTGCTGAGGCCAGTCTCCACTTACCAAGGCTACTTCTTATTTCAAGAGGACAGTAGTGCTATCTCAACAGCTCAGTTTGAAGTCTGAAGCTGGGTTAACCACTTTGCCTTTTCTCTTAAGAATATAAGAATATGCAGGTTAACTTATGGGCAGAAAAACAGGTCCCTTCCGCCCCCATCCGGCAGGACTGTGAGCCTTTGATGCTGAGAGGCAGCCAGAAGCAGAGGCAACATTCAGCTACTTGTCCCACTCTCTAGATGGGAACTGTGTTCTCCTGCAATGTTAGCTTTCACATCCGCACTTGCCCTTAGCCAAAAGGCAAAAAAGCAGTAGCTTTCACATCTGTGACGTGGGGGTGTCAGAGGCTGTTCCTGAGGGCTGTTGAGAGTCTTAGTCAATACCTGTGTAGCACCTGGCCTAGGACCCCTGGACGCTCTGGCCCTTTCATGAGTAGAGACCCCTTGTTTGCTCTCCTGGTCCTGGTGATGACAATACCTGTATTTAAATTCATCTAAATGGTTGTCACACTCATTTCATCCCATCTCCGGCCTTTTCTGACATTGCTAATGAGATAGAGACTGCAAGGCACAAACCAAAGGCAAAGCCTGAGGAACGATTTTCAGAGTGGGTAGACACTTAGCAATATAACATTCGAAAGTACCCTAAACAATTAGGTCTAGCTCTGTTTGATGCAGTGAAAACTTTGAAAGATTATATCCATAGCCCAGTGTAATATCTGCTTATCAGTCCCTCTGGCTGTTTGTAATTAATATCTTTTGCCAATCCTCTTTGGAAACTGAGGGTTGAATTCAGATCCCAAAGTAATACATATTGAAATAAAAGTTTTTCATTTAGAAGACATAAATCTGCTGTACTCCTCAAGGAGTGATTTTGACTTGAAGTTAGAGGTAGAGGTATACATGACTTTGACCAGCCGTGAAAGGGGTAACTGGCCTTGCTGTGCGAGCATGCAGATATTCCACGTTCATCTCTAAATCTCTCCATTTTGTTTGTGAAGGCATGTGCTCTCACAGAACTCAGGACCCCCACCACCCTTGGAAAACTGATGTGGAGACTTTGCCCCATGTAGTAGCTGCAGTTTAGCCTTGCTCGGTAAAGACCAACCCCAGGGCCACCAGCACAACCTGTTTTCTGCCATCAGTCACTAAGAAACTGTAAGGTACTAGAAACTTGGTTTTCTCACCACAAAAGTTCCTGGGGTAAAAATTCAAAGCACTTACCAATCAGTGCAGGCACTGAGCTGAGAAGGAGCTTGGAGGGAGCGCTTCTTAACAGGCCGGGGCTGGGCAGCTGCTCTGCAGCAGTGGCTGCTGCTGCCCTGCTCCAGCTCCTCTTATCTAGGGACCAGCTGCTGTGGTTGCCATGGGGATGCTCTGCTTCTCAGGCGCTGGGACAAGTGGGATGGAGAGGGAGGAGAACTAACTTGGTCACTCCTGTTTTCTGCAATAATAATAGTATATGATAAATATCCAACAATAATAGTATATGATAAATATCCAACAATAATAGTATATGATAAATATCCAACAATAATTGTATATGATAAATATCCAACACGCAGAGTCTGCTTTGAGTTCTTAGCTTGAATATCGAGATCAAGGAAATCTAGGCAAATCAGCTCAATCCTCAAATTCTCCTAAAATTCAACAGTAGGTTTAAAACCTTTCTTGGGAAGGGGCGCTTGTATGGCAAGTATTTAAACTGAAATACACAGGTTAGGCAGTTGGTCACAGAGTTACTGCAAACAACACTCAGGTTGATTTGAGTCGAAGTTCAGAGCAATTTTTAGCCACTCCTGCTGTCTCTTAGAATAATATGATGCGACAAGAAATAATGACAGTGTCACTAGCTAACATTTATGGATGTTAATATTCCTGTGTACCAGCTGCTCTTCACAATGCTTTGTACATAATCAACTTATTTAATCCTCATATCAACCTGGAGAGGTGAGAGTTGTAATAACCCCCATTGTAACACAAGTAGGCTGAAGCGTAGAGTGGTCAGATCACCTGCCCAAGGTCTTAACACTGAGAAACAGCAAGGGGAGAGCTTGAATGTTGCAGCTGAATGCTATGCCTGTGCCCTTAACCGCTTTGTAATACTGTACATCAACAACACAGAGCAAAAGAGAGCAGCCCATGACCATGTAGTTGGAAGAACGAGGCCAGGAAAACAGCTTCCTCTCAAAGGAACTAAATCAAAAGCTCCAGCACGTGCATGCCACCACATACTTGTGGAGAGGAAGGGTCTACATGCCATGTCAGATCAGGGTGAACCTTCTGTGTGATTGGAGGAGCAGCAGTTTGACTGCTAGATGGGCACAAAGAGCGTTGAAGTCAGGCTGGGAGATCAGTTTGGGTAGATAGACAGGAAGGACTTTTGACCCCTACAGCAGCCAAGAGTCATCACCCAGGGATGCTTAGGAACCATTCACAGAAGCCATGCTATGATCACTATTCACATTGGTTCTTTACCTTCCCAGGGTGTCATACAGTATAGGTTTTGTGTGGCCTGGTCACTGGTAATGGCTGCTTGACATCCCTGTTTCACTTGCCAGCTTCCAAATAGCAGGGTTGGCGTGTGACGCTCTCAGCTTGAGACTGACCATTAGGGTTAGAATGGTATCCAGGCCACAGTCAGACCATCCAGGAGGGGCCTTCCTTGGCTGATGCCCTTTGCCAGACTCTGTTTGGAATTTCCTGGGAAAGGATGGAGGCTGCTGAAAGGTAATGTTCCTGCCGGGGAGGGAAGGCCATGATGCTGAGGGACAAGACAGTACCTGGAAACAGCCCTCTGCCTGTCATTGTGCCAGCAGCCTTGCTGGCCACTCTGGTCACGGCATGGCCACTCCAATGTGAGTGGAAAAGGTACACTTTCTTCCAAAATGTTAAAATTTTTAATTTTAAGTATCTTTCATATAATTGTAAATTAGCCTGCAGCTTTAAGAAATAATATAGAGGGAACCCCTGTTCCCCTTAATTTTCTCCCAATAGAAACATCTTGTCAAACTATATAATATACCATATGATGTTGATATAGTCATAGTCCAAACGTTTCCACCCAACACAGGCTCCCTCCCTGGGGCTTTATATAGGTATGCCCATCTCTCACCCACCCATTCCTTCACTGCCGATCTGCCCTATGCACCTGTAATTTTGTCACTTCAAAGGTGTGATGATCATGGAGTCCTGAAGTAGAACACCTTAGGGATTCATGTTTTTCATCCAGCATATTCTCCGGAGATTCGTCCTTGCCCACACAATCCATTTCTTTTTATTACTGAATTGTATTCTGTGGTAGGAATCAGTGTGTTTTGTCATTCACCTATTGAAGAATGTGGTTGTTCCAAGTGTTTGGCTATTACAAATAAAGCTGCTGTGAACATTTGTGTAGAGGATTTTGTATGAACAAAATCTCTTGTTTCTTTTGGATGAATGCCCAGAAGTGTAATTTCTGGCAATCAAATGTTTAATTTTACGACATCATATATAGCAGCTGTACCGTTTCCCAGTCCCTCTAGTAATGTGTGGAAGCTCTGGTTTCTCCGTACATTTACTCGCTCTGTGTTGGCACTGTTTCTAAACATTGTTCTTACAGTTATGTAGTGATATGTCATTGTGATTTTAATTTGCTTTCCCTAAAAGACAATGATATTAAATGTATTTTCACAGGCTTACTTGTCACCTATGTGTTTTACTTTTGAAATGTCTCTGTGTCTTTATTCATTTTCTAATTGGACTGGATTTTTTTATTGTTAAATTTTCAAAATTCTTTACATATTCTAAATACTATGTCCTTAATTAGGAATTTAGTTTACAAATATTTGCTCTTTATTTGTGGCTTCTCTTTTTGACCTCCCAGAGTCCTTAACACAGGAAAGAGTTTTTCTATATTATTTCATTTGTTTGCTTTTATGTGTATGAGTATTTTACCTGCTTTTATGTAAGTGCACCCATGTATATAATGCCCATAGAGGTCAGAAGAGGGAGAAGATGGCTTGGAACTGGAGTTGTATATGGTTATTAGCTGTCATGCGGGTGCTGGAAACTGGGTCGTCTACAAGAGCAGTCAGTGCTCTTAACCACTGAGCCATTTCTCTAGCTCCAGACTTAATTTTCTTTTTCCAAAGTCAAATTTATCAGTATAACTTAAAAGTATAAGTAGTTAAAATATTTTGTAGGCTTTTCAGAACTGAATATGTGATTATAAGGTGTTTCAGCCTATAGATTTTTATAAATGCCTTAATCATTTCTTTTTCCATGGATAAATGGAGCATTTTTCAAAAAGGAGAGCATGAATTTCCTCCTCTCTTTGGATAGGTGCGTGTACTTCTCTGAGTTCAAGTTGGTGCTGCTGTGGATTTTTTCCCCAGGACATTCATTCCCTTTAATTGATCATGTCCCACCAGCTTTTAAGACACATAAACAGCAACTGAGATGGCAGATGGTAATGTGAGTATATGCCTTGGAGAGCTCTAAATAACAACCATATCTGTGTAGTGGTGAAGTCACAGACCCTTGGCCTACCGACTCCAGTGTAAGTGCAGGGAGCCCTGTGTCAGTAACATGATTTGTAGAGCTTAAATCCTCTGATGTATGGTTGAAGCTTCTGCCTTCACTCTTGATGGGTGCCTAATGCTAACTAGCTTTAAATGAATGTATTTTCATTTTAATCACAAATATTCTGTCTTTATGAGGAGACCCATCATGGTAATACACACTTCCAAATGAGTTATTTCAGTCACTATCCTATGAAATGGCCACTTAAAACACTTGTGTTTCAAAATTCACCTAGGGAAGTTTCTATATGGATGGATGATGGGGCTGTGTATCTGTGTGTGTGTGTGTGTGTGTGTGTGTGTGTGTGTGTGTATGTGGAGAGAGAGAGAGAGAGAGAGAGAGAGAGAGAGAGAGAGAGAACTGAATATCTACAGGCTAGATTGATCCCAGAAATCTTACTTGTGTTTGCTTTTCTCCACAAGCCTCTGAGGGAATTAGCTGCCTCAAATCAATATCTTCTGGTAAATAAGTGTTTATATCTTTGCTTTGGGAAGCTTTGAAGACAATTTAACTCTTGGTAAAAAGGGGCTTTTGAATTAAGTATAAGAAAATCAGGTATCATCTACTGTAATTTCATTGCAATAAGAGCATACAACATTTAATCTTCAGAATTCCTTTCAACTGAACAGGTTTATGTATCTACCACCACAGTTCAGAAACTGACTATTTTCTTTTTCTTTTCGTTTTTTCACATGTTCAAAAATTTAATTCACATGCAACATTTCAGTTCCATGAATTGTTTAAGCAAATGTGCCTACATATTTCTGCCTCTGCTTCAAAAATCAAAACCCAAGGACTGGGAAGCAGCACGGAGAGAATATTCTAGAATGATAAATTTCTGGCTATTTGTGGGTTCTTTCTTAAAAAGGAAATAATCAGTGGTGGCTCCTGGCTTTTCCTTGTTGGATTTCAGCCCATCAAACCCTGGCTGGCAGAATCAAGAAGAAACTTCTATTCAGTTTTTTTTTTTTTTTTTTTTTTATCAGGTTTCAAAACCTGAGCAAAGCACAGCTTTTAACTAAAATGACCCCAAGTAGAGGTCAGCTCTGCTGTTTTGGAAGAAAAGTATCTTTTTAAAAGTTTTTAGTGGAATTTTTGTGTATTTCATACAAAAATCATCTTTATACCCCTTACCCCTTTGGCACCTCCCAGAGCCCCCCCAATGGAGTTTATACATTCTTTCATTTGTGTTAAGGCCTATCATGTAAAGTTAGCATCCCCAGATGTCCCTCAGTGCAAGTTCATCCACTGGGATCTAGTCTGTCTATCCTGTCTCTCCCTTTAAGAAGATCAGCATTTCCTCACCTAGCCGTAATCAACCCCCAATAATTCTTTGAATAAGATTGGGGCTCACTGTTCACTTCGACACTGAGTATTTTCAACAATGCATGTCTCCCGCCTACTGTTCTTGTAGTTACAGACCCTCCTGCCATTCCCCCAACCTCCATGGCATCTGTGAAACCACTAATCAGTCCTACTATCATAATTCTGTCACATCAAGAATGTCATGTCAGCAAAGTCATATGTATGCAACCTTGGTTTAGGCTTTAGTTTGCTCAATGTAATTCTTAGGAATTAATTCAGATTGTTACATGAGGGGCTGGAGACATGGCTCAGTGGTTAAGAGCACAGGCTGCTCTTACAGAGGACCCAGGTTTGTTTTCTAGCACACATGGCAGCTAACAACTGTCTGTGACTCCAGTTCCAGGGGATCTGATGTCCTCTTCTGGCCACCATGGTCACTGCACGTATGCAAAA